GGTTGCTCTCTGCACCCCCTGCCTCTGCCACCTGGGACACCCTCTTGCTGTCTCTGCCTCTCCATTCACAGTTGTGTCTCTGGCTGGGGCATCCAAGGCCCAGCCAGGATACAGGGAACACCTCTGGACTCCAACTCCTTCTAAAAGCTCCTTCCCTGAGGCCGGGCATGGTGGCTCACACCTGTAATCCCAGCGCTTTAGGAGGCTGAGGCAGGAAGATTGCTTGAGCTGGAATTTGAGACCAGCCTGAGCAACGTAACAAGACCTCGTCTCTACAAAATATCAAAACATTAGCCGGGCATGGTGGTGCATGCCTGTAGAGCTACTCTCGAGGCTCAGGCAGAAGGAAAGCCTAGCCCAGGCTGGAGTCTGCAGTGAGCTGTTTTGTCCTAACTGGTTGATTCAATAACCAAGAAACCTGAAGTCTCGAAAACAATCCTACATGAAGCATTGGTCAGCTGACAGAGAGGCAGACATTGGTTACCGGAAGTCTGCGAGACCACCTCTCTGCACTGACCACTCCCGGAGACCACGTCCCGCCATCCCCACGGGTCTGTGCATGGTTGGAGTGACCCCTCATCACCGCCAGGGTCCTGAGGTGACCCTGAGGCCAGAGATGCTACCACTTTCCACAGGAGTGAGAGCCAGGCATTTGGGTTTGTTGTTTGGGCTTTGTTCTTTTTTGTGCTTTTCATGGGAGCAGGAACACCCCCCATGAAAAGAAGAGGGCACAGGGTATCTGGACTCTCTCCTGCTTCTGCTCCAGGGACCCCACGAGCCCTCGGAGCCCCTCGCTGCCCTTAACGAACTCTGCATGCAGACTCCGGGCTGCTCTGCGAAGACGCAGCCCTGGCAAAATCGTGCCTCGGTTCAGAAGCTGCGTGTACCAGCTCTCAGCTCGCCCTGCTGTATTAATAACGCCGGGCTGGGCTGGAATCTTAACAAATGTCAAGAAAAGCTGCAGAGATGAGTCACTGTCTGGAACCAGAGGAAAACACAAGGCCTTCTTATAGAGTCCAGAGGAATAATTGCCACCAGCGTTTGATCAAAGACCTCATAAGTGTGTGTGCCGGGCTCTCGACCCACGCAGGAAGCATCGGTGAGCGCGCCACAAACATCCTCCACAGCTTAGCGGGATTAGAAGATTCTAGCACTGCGTCTCAGGATTTTATAAGTTACTCTTAACTGGAGACAAACAGGACCGAATTGGTCTGGCGTGTCTTTGGTACAAATAACTTATGGATGTTTTGAACGGCGGAAGACCTAAAAGGGCAATTTTTATTAAAATGTTGATTTCCAGAACGAGAGCCTACCGTTACACAAATAATCATCCCTGCCTCAGATCTCATACTTTCTACCTGTTGAGTAAATATCACCCTCTTACAACTTCCCCAGACAAATACAAGCTCTTTGCAGAGCTAATTTCCTGTGCCTTTGTGAGGCCGGGGGCCCTGGACATGACGGGCCCATTTATGAAAATGAGAGAGGTAATTGGGACATCTTTTGAAACCATGTCCCCTCTGCCTTCCAACCAAGCCCCCAGCAGTCCTCTAATTTTACTTGGTCAGGTTACAGAGGATGTTTACATACGCCTCTTCCTGGAATTTCACCTCTCTGTGGCAAGAGTGAGCAATTAGAGGGAATTAGGGCCTATTTGGTGCATGTTTACCCTTAATGGATAGAGTGGCAGAGGCAGCCTTGGGAAAGGCTGCCTGCCCGTCTAATTGAAGCTGGCAATTTTTCGATTCCTCATTTCAGCACGCAGGTATTGTAGCAACCAAGGTCACAAAACAAAAGCCCCGGCCCACCACGGTAATCAAGGGCGCAGGCCCGGCCGCGGGTTCCGTGCGCTATTGATTATTGTGCTCGGAAGCACAAAGAGACGGTTGTCGACGTTTCCAGAGCCGGGTCTGTGACTGCAGCCAGTGCAGGCGGTGGCCCATCGCTTTTCCAGAAGTTGCCATCTGATGGCTTTGTCGGGAAGCTCTCGGCTGAGTGGGCCGGGGTGCCAACGGAGGTGTCTCTGTGAGGGTCTCATGACCAAAAGACATAGAGGAACCATGGGTGGGGCATACCTTCCTAGGACTAAAGTCGCATGTCCGGCCTCATTCCCCCTGAGTGGCTGTCTGGGCAAAAGGGGGTTTCCAGAGCAGGCCAGTGGCCCACCTGTTGGAGTCACACTCCGCAAAATGCAACGCCTGGATCCCAGCACGTGGGGCAGCCCCTCAGAGCATCCTTCCAGTGTGAGCTCTGACCCACACTAATGACCTGTGACTGTGACCCCAAAGACCGCACCGGTCAAGCAGGAGCTGGCAACTGGCGGTGGGCTCACTGTGTGACCTCAGGCAAGGCTCTGGCCTCAGAGATCTCTGGTCTCATCTCCAAAACAGAGGGGATGGTGGGCCAGGGATCCCCAGGATCCCGACACCTCTAAAGACTCAGCAGACAGGCAAACAAATGGCGGGTGACCACCAAGGAGGCCCAAAGAAGTCCAGAGGGTGTCCAAGCTCCAAGGGAATTCAGACGGCCAGGGGCCTGCATGCTCCTGTTTTGTAGATGGAAAAACTGAGGGCTGGAGAGGGCTG